ACGCACCTTTGACCCTCCTGCTCCTTCTCCTCCGTCTGCATGCAAGGTCCTCCTCCTCCTCCTCCTCCTCCTCCTCCTCCTCCTCCTCCTCCTCCTCCTCCTCCTCCTCCTCCTCCCCTCCCGCACGCGCGCCCGCGTGCATGGGGAGGAGCGAGCAAGGTGGAGGTCCCAGACCTCTGGCGGACTCATTCTGTCCCATCCCAGCACTTCTCCTCGGCTTCGGCCTCCAGAGGGGGGATGCACGTCGGGCCACGGGGCGAGAACGCATTTGGGGCGAAAGGCTGTCCCTGGGGCAGGGGTCGAAACATGTGGGGGGCATCGGTCCTGGCCAGGCCCATCCTGGGCCCAGGATCAGTGAATACGGCCGGGAACTTTTGCTCAGCGTGTCGCCGCGGCGGCCCGGGGGACACGCTTTGCCGTGCGAGCGGATAACGCGTCGCTCCGCTCTGCGGGGCAGGAGGCCGGGAAAAGCTCGGAACGTTAACGCTTGGAAATGGGAAAGCGGCCATCGTGTCGCGCTGAACTGGACCAGAACCGGCAGCGCGACACGCTGAGCCAAAGCTCCTGACCGTATCCGCCCCATCGGCCCTGGCCAGGCCCATCCCAGGCCCAAGCTCAGTGAATACCCATCCGTCGGAAGAAGTGGGTAAAAACATGAAGCAGGAAGGCGGATAAAGTAGATTGGGTTCGGGCCCGCCCAGAGAAGAACAGAACGCAGCAAAAGCATATCGATTATTGGTAAAATGAAGGCTCTTGAAGTAGGTTGGGATCTCGGTCAACGACCGGCGTGTACGCCATCATGGCTTGGCCAGGGGGGCACACAGTAGGGGCCCGACCACAAGAAGCCTTCCACAGGAAACCCGACCCTGAGACCCACACGGATGTCCATCGATTTTTGGTGTGGGCCGGCCACGCTGTCCATAGCAAGACCATCGGAACCCAAGAAACCCAGGGCACCCCATTGGCATCGCTCGGAGATGTGCATCTTTCCTCCGGCGAGGACCATCGAGGAGCATCCTTGATCACTTGGCGTAAAAGCCGCGCACGAAACCGAAAAGACGCAGGGAATGGACGCCCGAGCGATGGCCAGGCCATGGAGGCAAGCGGCGCGCCTCTTGGCACGGACCTCCGCTGCCCACGCCAACGCCGCGCCCGGAATCGGCCCTCGACCCTCGCGGCTCCAGGCGCCCAGGCCTCGCGCCTCGGCCCTCGACAGCCAAGGCTCGCCCCTCCTCCTCCTCATCCTCCTCCTCATCCTCCTCCTTCTCTCCATCCTCCTCCTCCTCCTCCTCTCCGTCCCCTCGGGCCTCTGCGGATGATTGAGGGATGCGCGGGCCCCCGGAGCCGCAGAACTCGGGAAGAAGAAGCGATCCCAGGGGAGGAGTGCGAGTGGTCCTGGGGCCACGCACTGAAGAGCAACCAACCATTGGCCCTCGACCCGTTTTTGGTTCATCGAGGGCGTCAGCGTCGGCGACGGAGGCATCGGCGTCCCCGCTCCAACCAGGAGGACGTTCAAGGATCGAGGGGGATGCGTTTGAACACTTTCTGGAGGTTTCCTGGGGCTCTGGGCCCTTGCTGTGCCCCCCCGGGGGCCTCCAGGAGCCTCCGGGAGAGTTTGGGAGCATCCTGGAATCTCTGGACACGTCCGAGCGTGTGCGAACTAAAGATTCCAAGGTGGGACATGATCCCGTGACAAGTAATCCAGTCCCACTAGCCCTCTGGGCGTCATTGGTCTAGCGAGCTCGTTCTGGTAACCCCCTTCTTCCCCGTCGGGGAGGAGGGTGTTCCTCCCCCTCCCCCTCCCCCCTGGGTCTGGAGCGGGCGTTCCGTCAGGGGTTGGAGTGTCACAGATGGCTCAAGATGGAGCCAAAAGGGCCCCAGATAGCCCAAGATGGCCTCCGAGATCGCTGAAGATAGCCCAAGACGGTTCCAGCTGGCCTCCAACATGCCCGCAAGAGCCTCAAAGATCGCTCCGAGATGGCTCCAAGTGGGCACGGAGCTTCCCAAAGAGCACTCCGAAAGGCCAAGCTCCTTCACGACCACCGTGTTGTTCAATGTGGGTTGCATTCGCGCCCGTTCGCTGCAGGTGGGCTCTTGAGACCTCAAGGTGGCGCCAAGGTAACCCAAGAGAGCCTCGAGAGGGGCCCAAGAGTGCCCAAGAGCGCCCCAAGAGCGCCCCAAGAGACCCCCCCAAAGCGGTTTTGAGGGCCCCGACGGAGGAAGGCAAATAGAATAAGTACCGCCCCCTCTTCTACTCGATGGCCTCCAAGATGGCCCCAAGAGGGCCCACAAGGACCCCAAGATGGCCCCAAGAGAGCCCCCAAGGGGCCCCCACAGGGCCCCAAAATGACCCCACCCCAAACGCCTCCAAGATGGCCCTGGAGCCCAGGATGGCTCCAATATTCCTGCAAGAGGCTCTCAGAGCGTGACTGCATGCTGCTACACATCTCACATCCATGACTAGGCCGACTCCTGGTGTTTGTTTTGGGATGGGCTGGTGAGGATAATTACGTGAAGCATCCAAACAAGTATCATTATCATCCGCATCCCTCGCCTCCTCCTCCTCCTCCTCCCTCCACCTTTTCCCTCATCTTCTTCTGCATGTCCTCATCAGCTCTTCATGCTCCTCATCCTCCTCTTCCTCCTCCTCCTCCTCCTCCTCCTCCTGCTCTTCCTCCTCCTCCCTCGCCTCCTACCTCCTAGGACCTGGGGACGCAGACTCAAAATCACCAGCCTGAACCTCGCGCACGCCCCAGTTCACGGCGAGGCTCTCGAACATGCGAATGCCGCAGTAGCGGTCCCCCCGGCGCATCTCCTCGGCGGAGACACACAGAGAGAGTGGGCTCCACTTCCACCCTTTTCTCAGTCCTCCTTATCCTCCCTTGCTGAGACACAGAAAAAAGCGGCATTAACATAGATTTTCGGAGGCCCGCGCGGAGCTGCGAAAGTGTGTGTAGTTGCCGCGCTTCCCGAGGAGCATGTCGTTGGAGGTTTCGAACCCGAGCAAAGCAAAGACCACAGAAGAGTCGCACAAAGGGGGGACGAGGAGCTCCACACCGTCCGGTCCGGCAGCCGGTTCGCCCGAGACGTCGTTGCAGTGGATTCGAGAAGCGTGCTCTCGCCTCAATGCTGGCCACATGTGTGGTCCAGACGGCCACGACCCCTTGCGACAGACACACTGAGCAGCAGATAGGCGTGCTCTCATGCAGGAATCTGCAGCAATGCCTCGGAATGCACGCTTTTACTAGCCGACCTACTTCTCGACGCGCCTCTTCGCCCTTGCTGCTGTGAGGGTGCGCTGCTGGGGCATATCTTCTTCGATTTTCTTGCAGCCGAAGCGATGATCGCGCCACGGCTGGCCGAAGAAACCCGAGCCTGCGGACCTGCCACAAATGCTGCGCAAGCGAACGCTGCGTTGGCTTCGCGCGCACACATCGCCGCGCATCTGCAGGGGACAGACGGAGCTGGGCCAGTCGAGCAGAAGCTCCCGAAGAGAGACGTTGTGCCCAGGCGACCTCTTAACGATCAGCACGTGTGCCGTCTCCTCCTCCTCCTCCTCCTCCTACTCCTCCTCCTCGTCATCATCATCATCATCATCATCATCATCATCATCATCATCATCATCATCATCATAATCATAATCATAATCATAATAAGCATCATCATCAGCAGCATCATCATCATGCTCCCCCTCCTCCTGCTCCTCGCCCTGTTCCTCCCTGGTCCCATCATTGTTTGTACTCCTCTCCTTGCTCCGCATCACCGTCATCATCATCATCATCATCATCATCAGCATCACGTGCATCTTCATCACCACTACCATCAGCATCATCAGCAGCATCATCAGCAGCAGCATCATCAGCATCACCACCATCATCACCACATCACCAGCATCAGCATCAGCATCAGCATCAGTATCATCATCATCAGCAGCATCATGATCATCAGCATCATCACCATCATCATCATCATCAGCATCATCAGACTCATCAGCATCACCATCAGCAGCATCGTCATCATCATCATCAGCAGCAACATGAGCATCATCATCAGCAGCATCAGCAACATCATCGTCGTCATCCTCATCATCAGCATCATCAGCAGCATCAGCAGCATCATCGGCAGCATCAGCATCATCATCATCATCATCATCATCATCATCGTCATCAGCATCAGCATCATCACGATCATCATCGTCAGCAGCAGCAGCAGCATCATCATCATCATCAGTATCATCATCATCGTCATCATCAGTAGATGCAGCAGCATCATTATCATCATCATCATTATCCTTATCATCAGGATTATAATCATCATCGTCATCATCAGCATAATCGTGATCATCGTCATCACCATCATCAGTATCATCACCAGTATCATCATAACCGTCAGCGTCCTCATTAGCAGCATCAGCGTCAGCATCAGCATCATCATAACCACCAGCAGCAGCATCAGCAGCAGCATCATCATCACCACCATCATCATCATCATAATCCTCCTCCCCCTCGTCCTCCTCCTCGTCCACCTCATCATCAGCATCAGCATCATAATTACGCTACCGAGGAACCCCACATACTTATATTATGGCTGGAGTGGCAATAGCTGGAGTGAAGCATGTGAGAATGATGCTGGTGACCGTTGCCCCGCCAATACCGTTGGTGACGCCACCCAAGAGGAGAGGTGGAAGAGGAGAAGCGCCGCGCCAGCCACACTTTGCGAGCCCGAAGCTGATAGCGACCGCACCCCAAAGGCACCCCCTTGTGGCGTCGAAGAAGTGTAACGCCTGCCACGCCTTGCGAGGCCACAATAGATAAGGGAGACCACCCCTAAGACACCCCCTTGTGGCGTCGAGAAAGTGCCATGCCTGCCACGCTTGGCCAGGCCGCAACGGATAGGGGGACCACCCCCAGCGCACCCCCTGTGGTGTCGAGGAAGTGCCACGCCTGCCACCCTTTGCGAGGCCGCAACGGATAGGGAGACCACCCCCAGCGCATCCCCTTGTGGTGTCGAGGAAGTGCCACGCCTGCCACGCTGTGCGAGCCACGCTGTGCGAGCCCGCAACGGATAGGGAGACCACCCCCAGCGCACCCCCATGTGGTGTCGAGGAAGTGCCACGCCTGCCGCGCTTTGCGAGCCCGCAACGGACAGGGAGGCCACCCCCAACGCACCCCCCTGTGGTGTCGAGGAAGTGCCACGCCTGACACGCTGTGCGAGCCCGCAACGGATAGGGAGACCACCCCAAGCGCACCCCCTGTGGTGTCGAGGAAGTGCCACGCCTGCCACGCTTTGCGAGGCCGCAGCGGATAGGGGGACCACCCCCAGCGCACTCACTGTGTGGCGTCGAGGAAGTGCCACGCCTGCCACGCGTTGCGAGCCTGCAGCGGATAAGGAGACCACCTCCAGCGCACCCCTGTGGTGCCGAGGAAGTGCCACGCCTGCCACGCTTTGCGAGCCCGCAACGGATAGGGAGACCACCCCCAGCGCACCCCCTGTGGTGTCGAGGAAGTGCCACGCCTGCCACAGTTTGCGAGGCCGCAACGGGTAGGGAGACCATCCCCTGTGCAGAGGAAGTGCCACGCCTGCCACGCTTTGCGAGCCCGCAACGGATAGGGAGACCACCCCCAGCGCACCCCCCGTGGTGCCGAGGACATGCAACGCCCGCCACGCTCTGCGAGCCCGCAACGGATAGGGAGACCACCCGCAGCGCACGACCTGTGGTGTCGAGGAAGTGCCACGCCTGCCACGCTTTGCGAGCCCGCAACGGATAGGGAGACCACCCCCAGCGCACCCCCATGTGGTGTCGAGGAAATGCCACGCCTGCCACGCTTTGCGAGCCCGTCACGGATAGGGAGACCACCCCCAGCATGACAAGGAAATGCCACGCCTGCCACGCTTTGCAAGCCCGTCACGGATAGGGAGCCCACCCTCAGCTCACCCCCTGTGGTGTCGAGGACATGCCACGCCTGCCACGCTTTGCGAGCCTGTCACGGACAGGGAGACCACCCCCAGCGCACTCCCTGTGGTGTCGAGGAAGTGCCACGCCTGCCACGCTTTGCGAGCCCGCAACGGATAGGGAGACCACCCCCAACGCGCCCCCCTGTGGTGTCGAGGAAGTGCCACGCCTGCCACGCTTTGCGAGCCCGCAGCGGATAGGGAGACCACCCCCAGCGCACCCCCTTGTGGTGTCGAGGAAATGCCACGCCTGCCACGCTTTGCGAGCCTGTCACGGACAGGGAGACCACCCCCAGCGAACTCCCTGTGGTGTCGAGGAAGTGCCACGCCTGCCACGCTTTGCGAGCCCGCAACTGATAGGGAGGCCACCCCCAACGCGCCCTCCTGTGGTGTCGAGGAAGTGCCACGCCTGCCACGCTGTGCGAGCCCGCAACGGATTAGGAGACCACCCCCAGCGCACACCCTGTGGTGTCGAGGAAATGCCACGCCTGCCACACTTTGCGAGCCCGTCACGGATAGGGAGACCCCACCCCCAGCGCCCCCCCCTGTGGTGTCGAGGAAGTGCCACGCCTGCCACGCTTTGCGAGCCCGCAACGGATAAGGAGACCACCCCCAGCGCACCCCCTGTGGTGTCGACGAAGTGATACGCCTGCCACGCTTTGCGAGCCTGTCACGGATAGGGAGACCACTCCCAGCGCACCCCCTGTGGTGTCGAGGAAATGCCACGCCTGCCACGCTTTGCGAGCCTGTCACGGACAGGGGGGCCACCCCCAGCGCACTCCCTGTGATGTCGAGGAAGTGCCACGCCTGCCACGCTTTGCGAGCCTGTCACGGATAGGGAGACCACCCCCAACGCACCCCCTTGTGGTGCCGAAGAAGGGCCACGCCTGCTACGCTTTGCGAGCCTGTCACGGATAGGGAGACCACCCCCAGCGCACCCTCTCTGGTGTCGAGAAACTGTCACGCCTGCTAAGATTTGCGACAGGAGGGCGTGCTGAGAGACCACCCCGTGCGCACCCCCATGCGTGCCACCTGCGGTGTCGAGGAACTGCCATGCGTGCCACGCCTGTGCCACGCCTGTGCTGTGCTGTGCTGTGCTGTGCTGCTGGCTGTGCTGTGCTGTGCTGTGCTGTGCTGCTCTGCTGTGCTGTGCTGTGCTGTGCTGTGCTGTGCTGTGCTGTGCTGTGCTGTGCTGTGCTGTGCTGTGCTGTGCCGTGCTAGTTTGTGCTGTGCTGTGCTGTGCTCTGCTGAGCTGTGCTGTGCTGTGCTGAGCTGAGCTGTGCTAAGCTGTGCCGTGTGTGTGTGTGTGTGTGCGAGTGTGTGCATGCGTGCGGCTGTATGTAGACGCGTGTCTCATGTACTGGCCGTGCATGTGTTGAGCGCGGGTGAGGAGAGGAAGAAGAGGAGGGGAAGAGTGAGGTGTGTGTGAGTGTCACGGGTGCGGCGCGGCAGAGAAGAAAACCAGAACCCCACTAAGCATGTGGGGAAGAGGAGGAGGAGTGTATGTGTATGTGTATGTGTGAGCTGTGTGCTGTGCTGTGCTGTGCTGTGCTGTGCTGTGCTGTGCTGTCCTGCGCTGTGCTGAGGGTGAGGGAGGAATGAGTGGGAGGGGAAGGAGGAGGAGGAAGAGGAGGGGAGGTGACAGGAAGACGCGGGTGCGACGCGGTAGTGAAAAAAACAGAACCCCACTAAACATGTGGGGAATCAGCATCAGCATCAGCATCATCATCATCATCATCATCATCATCATCATCATCATCATAATCATCATCATCATCATCATCACCACCACCATCATCATCATCGTCATCGTCGTCATCGTCAACATCATCATCAGTATCGTCATCATCACCATCATCATCATCCTCATACTCATCCTTCCCGTCCCCCTTCTCCTCCTCCTCCACCATTACACAATATGATTAATACTCTCATCTCTCCCCTGATCACGTCCGGAAGATATCCGGCCCCGCTCCGCTTATTGTTCCCAAGATTCCCAGGGAATTGGTTTCGCTCGAGTTGTTTGTTTTGTATGTTGCTCCCGCTGAAGCGTTGGTCTCATTTTCGGGTTTCTGCTCGTTCCGAATCGTGCTCCCGCTACAGCGCTGGCCTCATGTCCGCGCTTCCGCTCGTTCCGAATCGTGCTTCCGCTGCAGCGCTGGAATCATTGCCACGCTTCCACTCGTTCCAAATCGTGCTCCCGCTGCAGCGGAGGCGTCATTATTTCCAGTGCCTTGCCACGGCATGGTTTTCGGTCCTTCCAAGTAGGCCCCAAAATCTAGAAAATGCCCCCCCGAAGAAACCATCAGAAGTGATTCACAGTCGGTGTCGATTCGTTGATTTTTGGGCCGCAGACCCCCCCAATTTGGGGCATCGCCACGACATGCTATGTCATGCTACGCGTTGATAGTCAACGCCATGCTATGCCATGTAATGCGATGCCATGCTACGACATCCGACTGTGCGAATAGAGAAGAGATCTGCGCCATGGTAAGGGATGGGAGGGAGGGGTAGGGCAGCAGATATGACGCGAGCGCACCTAGCTTGTCCTCCTCCCCCTTCCCCTCCCCCTCCCCCTCCCCCCCCCTCCCTCCCCTCCCCCCCTCCTCCTCCCCCTCCCTTCCCCCCTCCTCCTCCTCCTCCGCCTCCTCCTCCGCATCCTCCTCCTCCTCCCTCCTCCTCCTCCTCCCTCCTCCTCCTCCTCCTCCGTCCTCCTCCTCCTCCTCCTCCTCCTCCTCCTCCTTCTCCTCCTCCACCTCCTCCACCTGCTCCTCCTTCTGCCCTTCTCTTCCTTCTCCTCCTCCTCCTCCCCCTCCTCCTCCTCCTCCTCCTCCTCCTCCTCCTCCTTCTCCTGCTCCCCGTTCCCCGTCCCTCGTCCCCCGTCCTCCGTTTCCCTCATTCTCCTCTGCCAGAGGCACCAGAAGGCCCAGGAGACTGGCCCAGGCGACCGACCGATGCTGGGGGAGCCTACCAGAGGCACGATCTCTCGAGAGAGGTGTCGAGGCCGATGGGCCACCCAAAGGGCGGGGGGAGGAGCACGGCTCCCCCAGTTGTGGCTGATCGGCCCATCGCCAGTTGCTCCCCGTCGCCCCTCCTCCAGGGAGGTCTTGAGAAGTCCCCGCAGGTCTCCAATGCTCTCCGGATGCCCTCGAAGGCCTCACAAGCCCCCCCCACACAAGCTTGAGGGGCCCTCGACATCAGCAAGGAAATTGGGTCGACTGATATGCTGTACTTCTCTGGTGACGTCTCCATGTGTAAGGATGTCTCAGGCGAGAGCCACGATTTGGAAGGTACGTCGAATGAGGATGTCTGCAGCGAAACGTCCAGCTACACCGAGTTCGATATCCAACGCCAGAGCTTCACATCTCAATGTTCTGAGGATGCCTCATGCGAAAGCTTCACTTTGAAGAACCAACGTCGTAAAACAACTTTTCCAACATTCCCATTGTGCGAGATTCTCTGAGGCGAGAAGCATGTTGAATCCCACCAGCCCTCTGGGGGTAGGTGGTTTAACGATATCTTTCTTCCCTCTTCCAAAAAACCCTCTTCCCCTTCGGGGAAGGGTGCATCACCGGCCAGCGGCCAACCAGGAACCATGCCGACTCCATGCGGGCCCACCCCCCACCATCCCTGTCAAAAAACAAAACAAACCGCACTCCGCCTCCACATTTGGAGCATGCGCGGCCGACCCGATGTGGCTCCCCCCCACACCATCCCTGTCAACAAAACAATGCAAAGTACACTTTGGGGCAAAGTCTTGAGTCTTGTTCGTGAGGCCCGCGAACACTGTGTATTGTTTTTTGACAAGGACGGCGGGGGTGCCAGCATATTCCCTGCTGCGCGCAGGGCTACCATCCCTGACAAAAGCAATCCAACGTGCACCTCGAATCTAAATCTGGATCATGCGCAGCCGTCCCGCGATCACTGTCAAACGGTTTTTGACAGGGACGGCCGGGTTGGTGGCGCGCTGCCTGCTGTGCGCAGGCCCACCAGACACAATGATGGGCATTGGTTTCCGACAAGGCTGGCGGGGGCCGACATGTTTCCCGATGTGTGCTGTCACGTGCGCAGGCGCACCTGACGCACCCTGCACGTGCCCCGAACATGGCGCACCTGGCGCGGCTGGAGTGTGCGGCACACCTAGCGCACTCAGAGCACGTGGCGCATCTGGCGCACCAGGCGTGCCTGGCACGCTCGGGCCCCAGGGATGCCTAGCGCGCGTGGCGCCCCTGGCACGCGTGGCGCACCTCGCCCAAGCGTCGCGCACCTGGGGTCAGCTTTGATTCCCAGTAGCTGCCCATCCGGAGACGACCGCTGAACATGTTCAGGCTCGGGTGTTACTTATGTGTTGGGAGGGCGGGTGGGAGTGAGCTAGGCGGCTTGCGGGCGGGTGGGTAGCTTGACCCCTCACCCTACCCCCTCCCCTGGACCTGGACGGAGAGGAGCAGGAGGTGTCAGATCCCAAGATGGCCCAAGATGGCTCCAAGAGGGCCTCCGATGCTCCAAGATGGCCTCCAAGATGCCTCAAGATACCGCAAGATCGTTCGAGATGGGTTCCAACATGCACCAAAAGGCCTCAAAGACCGCCCCGAAAGGCTCCAAGCGCTCTCGGAGCTCCCTCGGGACCCCCCCAAGAAGCCAAAATTTGTCAAAAACCTAAGGAACATCACTGAGTGCTGCCTTCTTGCCTTTTCGCTTTCAGTGCGCGTTTGAGGCCTCAAGATGGCCCCAAAAGATGGCCCAAGAGAGCTCCAATAGGAGCCCATGAGGCCCCCAAGACGGCCCCAAGACCGCCCAAGAGCGCCCCAAGAGGCTATTTAAATGGTCGCGGAGGGGCCAGGTAAATCGAGGACACCCCCTCCTCTGATCGATGGTCTCCAAGATGGCCCCCAGGAGGCCTCCGAAGCTCCCATGAGAGCCCCAAGAGAGTCCCAAGAGAGTCCCAAGAGGGCCCATGAGGGCCCCAAGGCGCCCCAACAGAGCCCCAAGAGGACCCCAAGACCCCCACAGAGCCCCAAGATGCCCCACAAGAGCTCCAAGAGGACCCCAAGGCCTCCGATGCTCCAAGATAGCCTCCATGATGGCTGAACACCCTCCATTCTCTTCTCTCCTTGCACGCTCTGTTTCACTATATGTGTCTCTTCGTCCCTTTTCCCGTCAGCTCTCATGGGCAGGGCTCCTGAATGGGCTGGTGGGGGTTCGAGAAGCGTAAAAAATACATGATGCCCGATCTCCAACACATCATTATTCTGAGGATGTCTGAGGCGAAAGCCTCGGTTTTGAAAACCCACGTCGTAAAACAACTCCTCAACTAGCCACATGTTGGGAAAGTGTCTCAAGTGAAACGCCCTTCCATACCATGTCGGATATCCTACGTCTGATCTCCAACATGTCAACGTGCTGAGGATCTCTGAGGCGAAACCTTCACGATTGACAACCAGCGTTGTGAATCAACTCATCCATCATACCCATCTTGTGACGATGTCTCAGGCGAAACGCCACACACACACAAACACAAACACAAACACACACACACACACCACGCTGGATATCCGACGTCTGATCTCCAACCTCTGATTTTCTGAGGACGTCTCAGGCGAGAACTTCATGTTTGAAACCCGACATCGTAGCACAACTCCTTCGACATCCCCGTTCGTGCGGAAGTCTCAGGTGAAACGTTCCCCCCACACCCTGATGGACTGAAGTCCGGCCTGTCCCCTGACAGGGGGAGGTTGGGCGAAAAACAAAGAAAATCGTCAAACAAATGCCCCGCAATTGTCAAAAATGGTCCAAAAATCGCCCCCCGACTATTTTTTGCACTATCTCCGAAGATCCCTCCTGTGGAGGGACAGGCCCGACTTCGTGCTGGACACCCGACGCCCCCGCGGACGCGTGAGAACCGGCTCCCCGGGCGCACGCCCCCCTCCGCGCACGCGGCCTCGCGCGCCGGGCATCACATCCGACGCCGGCAAGCTCGCTACCCTCCTGGGGCCCCGCTGTCGCCGGTGCCAAGCGCATGCGCGACGAGACGCACAGGGCAGTTTCTAATACATCGGATTTTTCATGTATATAGGATCTTTAATACATGATTAGTTTCTGAATGAATTTATGCACAAACTCATCGTTGTATTTAGTACTAAGCCCCTACATCTTTAATACATGATCCGCACGCGGAGCATGTATTAAAAACGGCACTGCATGCTGGAGGCCCGCCCCTGGCGCACACGCTCTCTGCGTGCCCCATTCCGGCGCCAACTGCTCGACACCGGCCGGGTGCGGGGCCGGAGGCCTGCACACCGGAGAAGAGGGCCCTGGGCGTGGGCCCTTGCCAGGAGCGAGGCCTCGACGGGGCGGTGTCTCCTCGGCGGTCTTCTCGATCTGCTCGATGCACGGCGAAAACGTGCAGACCTTGCCGCCGTCCTTCGGGGATGGACAGACCCCCCTTTAGCAAAACGTGGTTTGGTGAAAACGACCTGAGGCCCAAACCTAGCGGGCGCAGGCCTGGAAAAAGACGGCCACGGCGCCCTCTCGAGAACCAAAAACGGACG